GTTTAGCATCGGGTTTCTATGGATTAAGATCGACACGATCTTTCTCAGAAACATTGAACGATCTCATTCGACATGGTGGTGATGCGGATACTAATGGAGCAGTATGTGGAACAATGTATGGTGTAAGATATGGGTATCATTCATTGCCTACTGAATGGCTTCGAGCAATGCCTTACAAAAAATGGTTCGATCAAAAGATACTTCATTTACTTGAACACATGAATCTTATCGATGGAACAACATAATTATTATGCTATTCTAAAACAATTTCATTTTCTTTACCTATTTTTTAACACATAAAAAGATTTTATAAGTAAATAATACAAGACTTGTTTTAATTTATTGAAATATAATAAAATAAAATAGAAAATATTTTCATTTTACTAGAAGAAACTATCGTAATTTATAAATAACCGTTGGTTTTGATGTACACGTTTCCAGTATGTATAAAATCTTTCAAAAATATAAACATCTTTTAATAACGACGATGTTTGTTCTTTATAATGTAATGAAGATGCACATGCATATGCATTTTTTTGATTAAAAAAGACGACACACTCATCTGCAGATTCATAACTTATTTTAAAACGTAAATGTTGCCGTTGAATATTCAAATATTCTGCTAAAATACCAGTTATATAAACATCAGATAAATGAAAAGATTTTTGATGTCGAAAAAAAGCACACAGAAGTTTTAAACGTGCATTTCGATTAATAATATAACCAAAACCACTCATAAAATCAGGATAATGTGTACATGGATATTCATTATCAGTTATAATATAACGAGCTTCTTCAGGCGCTAAATCAGCTGCATGTCGAACAACATGTGCATGCTGAAATTTAAAACCATAGATAACTGCCATTGAATTTAAATTTTCCACATGTTTACATTCTATTTTTTCTGTAGATATAGTTGTATTTGTAATAATATATGTCAAAACATTAGCTACAAGATACATATTTAGAAAAACATCATCATCACTTTTAATTGTTAATAAAGCTTGAGAACAATATGTTTCTGTCCAATCTAATATAGCCATATCACGATATGTCGATAATGAATAATGTTGTGGTAAACGAACTTGAACAAGATCATGATAGAGTGATTGTTCAAGATTGATATTTTGAATAAACATTGCATCAATATCAATAAGAAATAAAAGTTTAAGTTTAAGATTTGCAAATTTTTCTACAGAATTTAATTGTGTAAAATCACCCCATGTACGACGAATAGCATTACGTGAACCAAAATTAGTTGATTTAGAAATAACAAAAATAAGAGCATGTGGAACAGATAATGAACAAAAATTTTCATTAGATATTTCATATGTAAAAGATGATTGACTAAGATTTTGTGTAAATAATTCTTCAGGTCTACAAAAAAAAAAAGAAGATTTTCAAAGTAAATAGAAATTAATTTAACTATAGTCAATGAAGAATACCTTAGATTATTCATAAAATGTTTGCGAATACTCGATTGATTACAGGGCACTGATCGATCTATATGTTCTTCATGAACATTTGGTTTTCGATTAAGTATTTGTAAATTAAAACATAATATTACAAAAAAGAAACATGGAATACATAAACGTCGACGACCATATCGCCGCAAACAATTGATTGATGTGAAATAAATCTTGTTTAATAATTGTAAATCATGATCATATCCGTTTGTATTGTATTTATTTCTTCCATTTATCATTTGAAATAACACGAATTAACAATGATCTAAGATTAGAAAATAGAAGACGAATATATTTCTTTTTTTCTTATATTGCATTGTACAATATTTTAACTGGTAATACATATATGTCTATGATAAGTAAAAAGGAAGTTAATGTAAATATATCTTATCGTAATAGGCATTTGTACATCATATATATTGAGGTAAAGCAATGAATCGAACTACTCCGATATATACAAGGTAAAAATACAGTAACCATGTGGGTTACCAGACATGAAGGATAGAAATAGGTGAGCTATACGGTTTAAAAGCTACTGTATAATATATATGTACCTTAAAGCGAAGTTTTAATTTAAAAAATATTGATTTTATCTTGCTAAATTAATTATTTTATATTCAATAGAGAAAACAAGACATGTTATTTAACTTCTACTAATATGTGGTAAAATTAGTCGACACGTTGAGATTGTTATTATTTTCATCAAAATCAATATTTTTGTCTTACTACATTAAATATATATATACTTCACACAAATGATAGCATTACAAGTTATTTTTATTTATATCCATCGTTCGTTTTCATAGCAATACAATTATATTTGAGTTTGCATACAGAATATGTGTATCTGATTGACTAAAACGTAATTTGTAATAAACAGTCATATACAAAGAAATTTTTGTATCTTTTAATCACAATTCGCTTGTCTTTAATATTGTTTTTTTTCCATCCTGGAATCAAACTAAAAGTGATTCTTGATAATATATGAAAGGTTGTTTTACATCGTATCTTGATTTCTTGTTATCGAGTCGATCGTAACCTTAAATCTAAATGAGCACATTAAGCGCGGATAGCAAAAATCAATCATGTTTGACGTATTCAAGAAAAAAATTAGTAGAGTAGAACGAAAGGGATATACATGTGTACAGAATACAATTAACAAATAATAACGGTACGTCCTTCGGAAAAACAAACTTCAATGATCGATCTAGTCCAAGTTACATTATGACAAACAGGTTAACATCAATACAACATATACAGTATCAAACATATTTCTTCAGCAGTTTACTTTGATAATAAAATCTTTCAACAGATGTCGTACATATTCGAACAGACCTCTAATTGTTTTATTTGAAATCAACATACAAATGGCTACCATTCGTCATTGTTATTCTACTTCCTAATCTCTTTCAATCTTTCAGTGAAACATTTCATTTTTTTTGTGTGTTATACATTCTATCAGGTACTCGTGTTTTTCTTTCCAATATGAGCAGTCGACCACGAGGTGATGGTGATCATCGCTCAACACCACCAAATATTGATGTTATGTATTCTCTTAAAGTTGATAATTTAACATATCGTACGCGTGTAGAAGATTTACGACGATGTTTTGAAAAATATGGGCCTATTGGTGATATCTATATTCCACGTGATCAATTTTCTCGCTCAAGTCGTGGTTATGCTTTCATTCGGTTTGTATAGTGATTTCTATTTAAAAAATAATTTCTAAATTCTTGTTTGTTTACTTTTTAAAGTTTTGCGAAAAAACGTGATGCTGAAGATGCACTTGATCGTATGGATGGTGCTGATGTTGATGGACGTGAAATACGTGTTCAATTTGCTCGTTATGGTCGAGCATCAACAACTGATAGTCGTGATAAAGCACGCCGTCGACGGTAGGAATAAAAAAAACAAAGGAAATAGATTGCTTGTTCTTTTTTTTTTATTATTCATCTATTCATATATGAGTTTCCGATAAATCCATCCCGTAAACAAAATTGATTATCTCTATTCATACAGGTATTCTCCTGTTCGAAGATGCTGTTTCCTGTATTTTGTTCGAGAATAAAATAAGATAATATGGTTTATCCCGGTGTTTCCTGCATTTACCTAAACAGAGCGAGATTCCAGATCAGATGTAAGATATCTATGTATCGTCGATAAGCTTTTTACAAGTATTGACAATATCTACATCGAAGAAAATACTTTTAAATGTTATCATCAAATAAATAGACAAAAAAAAACCTATTGAAAAATTCTTTCTTAGAACACGTTCACGATCAAGATCAAGATCTCGTCGACGTTCCAAACATCGATCACGTAGTGATAGTAATCGACGGTAAGTAACAAAAATATTTTTTATTTTTCCTATTAAAATATATTCTCATGTATATGTATGTTTAGATCACGATCTCGATCAACATCACGGTAAACTAAAAAATTTATTTCTTTCGTTTAAATTTAGAAAAAAAAACAACAAAAAATATTTCTTCTAGTTCAAAACGAAGTACTCGTCATGAAAATGGTGACCGTGATCATCGACATTAATAAAACTATTCAATTTTTTTCTTTTTGTCCTTCTTTTTTTTATAGTTACTTGACTATATTATATATTTACTAATCATTTTGACTGATTTATAAATAAACAAAAAAAAAAAACACATAGTTCATATTTCAGATAGGATTGTTTTTACAATGGCTACAAATACAGATCAGGTGTGAGAGAGAAAATTGTCAATGAAAAAAATCATTCATTTAGTTTTTTTCTAGCAAAAAAAATCTCGCGAAGATGCAGATGCAGTAGAAAATTTTTCTAAAAGATATTATGATATATTAGATACACGAAGACATGTAAGGAATTTAATAATTAAAAAAAAAGAACACGAAAAAAAGTGATAAGTGAATTATTTAGAATGTTGATAAATTTTATCAAGCACAAGCAAAATTAATTTGGAATGGTATAGAAATAAATGGTCAAACTGAAATAGCAAAACATTTAGTTGCACTACCACCAACAAAACATCATATTTATGCATTAGATTTTTTTCCTATGAAAGGTTCGAAAATATTTGAAATAGTATTATTTATTTCATTATTTTTGTATTTAGATCTTTTTCCAGATGAAGATACAACTTATCAAGTTTTTGTTAGTGGTGCTGTTGCATATGGTACACCAGAAAGTACAACAGTTTCAAAAGAAAAACGTCTTTTTTCACATGTATTTATATTAACTGTCGATATTATATCATCAACATGGGTTATTGCAAATGAATGTTTTCGTTTTCATGAATAATATGAACGTTTACAAGACAAGATTGTTATTGCTTTTTTTTGTTGTTGTTACAAAAAATAACTATTACATTTATGAAAAATAAATATTAAAAAATGTCTGTCATTTATTAACCTTTTATAAGCATATATAACAGTCAATAGCATGATTATTTAGTAATTTAAAGAACAAAACAATTAATTTACAAAAATAAGTTATTGCAAGAATATTCTAAGACACAAAACACCGTAAAATATACAATTATTTTATGTGGAAATTAATTTTTCGATAGATGTTTCAATTTCTTTTGGATCTTTAAAAATAGTATATCGTTCATGTGGTACATTTTCAAATGTTTTTATATATCGTTCGTGACATGTTAGTAGACATTCTGGTGTTCGACAAATATCACGAATAAATATATGCGCAATATTGTGTGGAAATGTACTATATAGTTTAGAATATATTTCTGGATCAAGTTCGCCTAAACGAAAAAAAACATCAATCAGTTAAATAATTATATGCATTTATGTAAATAAACCTGAATCTCCAACCAAAATATATTTTCTTTCAGGATAAGCATGAATAATTGGTGTAATTGTTTCTATTTTATATTCATCGGGTGCTTTAAGAAATTTTAAACTCCATGCAAATTTTCTTAAATTCATTGTACCCATTGGATATTTATATTTTTCTAAAAAACAACGAAGTGCTGGATATCTAAACAGATACAAAATTTTTTCTAGTTCAATATCGAAAAAATATGATTATTTTTATTTACAATTGCCACGGACTTGCACTAACATAATGAAATTGACATTTTTGTTCACTCCATTTTTGATACAAATCACTCATACCATCAACAGGTTTAAAATAACTATAAAATGTATGTTTTAATAACGATCGTGTCTTAAGAACATTGGAGACTTTTATTGTATCATCAATATCTGATATAATACTAACACCATGAGAAGCAAGAACATATATAGTACATTTGAATGGTTTGCAATCAGGTGAACTTTCATCTGTTTTCGATTCATTTAGTTCAATTTCATAATCAAACTTTTTATCATCCGAGTCAGGATGAATTTTTGTACCCAGTTTTTCAATATCATTAACCGATAAATCAAGTTGTTGTTCAATAAAACCACTTTCATCAGATGGTTGAAGTAAATGTTCGACACCATTGATAATTGATTTAGTTGCAACTTTAACAGAATTACCAACAAAAAATAAACCTAAACGACCAGGATTTTCATTTGATTCATTGAATTCATCTTCTAAATAAAATGATATCAAAACTTAAATTAAATTCATTTTTTTATTTTTCTTACCTATTGCATCTTCATAATTTTCATCATCTTCATCTGATGGTTCTTCTTCTTTTACTTTATTATTCTCTTTAATAGCAATGGCAGCTGTTTGTTTTTTTT